TTTTTTTTTTTTTGGCCAGGTAGTTCTAGTTCTGGATTCCTATTTAGATTTACACACACACACACACACACACACACACACACTCCTATTCCTCCTGCACAAGGTAAATCACCAAAATCACCTTTTCCTCTCCTTCCTCCCCTTCCACCTTTAAAATACTGGCAATATGGGTGGTTTTTAAAACTAACAGAATAGTGTTTTTTAAACTAAAGTTACAATCTGTTGGGTCAAATGGAGAAAAATAAAGGCCAAAAGATTTGGGAAGTGGGTCTATGTATACAATTTATGCGAATATCTTTGTATGTGCACTCAGGTACCTTCACACTTATACATTTTTAATACTCCTATTACACATATTTCTTCTTGTCTAATACATTCTTTTGTTCCTTTAACCTCCCCATCGGGGTGTGTGTGTGTGTGTGTGTGTGTGTGTGTGAAGGCGTGAGCGCGCGCGCGTGCTCACGCCTTCACACACACACACACACACACAGAGTGTGACAGACAGCTTTCTTGTGGCCATCAGGACACGTTGTATATCCGGGGTCTTCTCCAGGCACATTGGGGGTCGATCCCGATAAAAAGATCTAGCAGAGGCCCCTCAGTGCTCACACATGAAAGGCAGGGGACTTTAAGATGGATTTGCATGCACACAGGGGATTTCGATCAATAGCTACCAACATTTATGGCTTAGATTATTAATGTGAAAGCTGGCCAAAAGAATGGGGATGAAAAATTAAAGGTGTCTGTTATCAATTATGCTTAAAGTTATGCAATAATTTACTTACTTTGCCTGGATGTGCAGATCCAGATGTATAAAGTACTGTTCTTCAAAAGCCAGGGGGTTTCTTTGATAAATATGTTGACCATGTCAGCCGCTTCTACAATCAAAGATGAACCCAATTCAGATGATGGACTGTATTCAAATTCCTTTCTAAGAAAGGATATATCAACTTCTATGTTTCTCAAACACATATACCTAAGCGGGTGGATACGCCCAAATTAACATTTATGTGTATATCCATCTCTGAGGGTCCAGGGGATTACTTAACTGAGAATGTAGGCATATGTATGATATGCATTGAGTTTGTTAATTAAATGCGATTATTTAGTCAGTGAGGAATGCATAACCTACACACTATCATAAAAAGTATTTTAGCTTTGAAAACAAAGCTGCTTGCTAGAGGAAAATCCTCTGTGGCAAATACAGACAGAAATACATAAATGTCCACTTACTTCTGCATTTATTGTAAAAAATCAGCACTTTCAGTTTTTAAAGTGATGGGCTATGAAAACATGAACATATTTGTCTTTACTTATCCTGTGTTGATGTGCTACATTTATCTTCAAATGTTCTATTTTGATTTATTTTCACTGTATTTTATGTTTAAATACCATTGCAATTCAGTCTGACCTCTTTCCTCTGGAGCGAAGTGATGCGCACGGCATTTACAGTCTTTTAAATGGTTAGCTGGGAAATGCAATAGCAATTTCCAGAAGCAGTTTACTAATGGGGAAAGTTCTTTTGAAAACCTGAAGGAAAACCTAAGAGTACTTTTGCATTTCTACACTACAATGTCATATAATTAAAGTACTGAAGAGCATTAAAATAATCCTTTCCCTTCCCAGCCTTCACCCATACATACATAATTTAAATGAGGATCGCCCCCCCTCCCAACCCCACCACCATCACCTAACTCTTCACCATATACATTTGTTTTAGTGATTGCTGGCACATTTTGTTCAAAATGAATTCAGACAGAAAAGACTAAGGAACATCACAAAGGCCTCAACAATGTAAGTATACTGGTTAGAAGAATAAAAGAAGTCCCTTGTACTGTTAGCCAAAAGTAACTATAATACTTACAACATAACAAAGTCTAAAATAATAATAATTTAAAGTCTTATATGGCTGAATTAATTGAGGATATAGGACAATAAAATCTTGTGTGAGAGTCAACAGTTCCTTACCTAAATTTATGTCATATCACATGTTCTCTGCTTTTGGGGAGAGGAAAATGAGAACGGAGGAGGAGGAAATGGCTAAATTAAGGAACAACTTAAATTATAACTCAGTACATTTTCTTTAATATTTTTCTTTTTTGTCTCATCCAAACAAATCAGGGCAAGTCTCC